TCTCTTCCTGCCCTGCTCAGAAACCTCATCGTGGTTTGTTCCTGGGGCTGGAATTGTGTCCTTGGATTTTGAGGCTCCTCACCCTCAGGGGCTCAACTCCCACATTCCAGAGCCTCTCTCTTGGCTCCAGGGAATTCCTGCTTCCTTAGGAAAGCGCTGGTCCAGGTTTTCCTGCATTTTCTGGCTGTGCCACCTCCGTTCCCACCGGATTTTTGGGATGAGCGATTCCAAGGGCTGAGCTCTCAGTGTCTGGAGGGGTCCTGGTGACTCTGCAGGGACAAATCTGCCCTGGGGCCTCCTGTGCTTCCTGAAATCGGGAACAATCTCCTCCCACCCATCCTTGGGAATGGAAATGCCCCTTTTTTGGGCTGGAAATCCCAGGATTTAAAAGTTTTTAAAAGCCAGATTTTAAAGGTTTTTTTTTAAAAGCCAGGGTTTAAATGTTTTTAAAAAGCCAGGGTTTGAAAGTTTAAAGTCAGAGTTTTAAAAGGCCAGGGCTGAGCAGTGTCCTGCAGCTCTGGAATAGCTGGGATGGGCTTGGAAGTTTTGGTGCTGATCCTGATCCTAAAACCAGCCCTAAATTTAAGTCCTGCAGCCCTGGCATAGCTGGGATGGGGTTGGGAGTTTGTGGTGCTGATCCTGATCCTAAAACCAGCCCTAAATCTGAGTCCTGGCTGTTCCTGGCACAGCTGGGACGGGGTTTGGAGTTGATCCTGCTCCTAAATCCAGGCCTAAATCCAGCCCTAAATCCAGGCCTAAATCCAGCCCTAAATCCAGGCCTAAATCCGGGTCTTGGCTGCTCCTGGCACAGCTGGGATGGGGTTGGGAGTTTTTGGTGCTGATCCTGCTCCTAAATCCAGCCCTAAACCCGGTTTTGCCTCCCTCAGGACACCCCCAGACCCCTCTGGACCCCCCAGCCCCTGGGGAGCTCCAGGAGCCCAAGCCCAGCTCTGATCCCGGTTTGGGAGCTGGGACATCCCAGAATTTTTTTCCCTCTGCAGCCCCAGCTCCATATTTTGCATTTTTTTTTGGTGCATTTTTTGGTGCTGATCCCCCCTCGAGCTGGAAAATCTCCGAGGGCTCCTCCAAAGCTGCTGAGAGTGAAGGAGAATTTTCGGATTTTTCATCCCAGCCACGCTCTGCTCGTGGATTTCAGCACAGCCCTTGTGGTTTTTGGG